CATACCTAGCATTCAGACCTTGGTTTCTAATATCATTCTCTGTTAAAAGGAACCAAAATTGCTTGGTGAAATGACTGGGACAGGAAGTACACAAAATGAGCCTGGAGTATTTTGTAGTGCTAAAAAGTAAACACGTGCTTAACACATAGACATACACAGTGATGGGGGTTATGTCTAAGGCACACAGGATTCAGTTGAAAGTGTTCTCAATGGCCAAAGCTGAAACAGTTTGAACAGTAAAATAAATAGAATTCTATTAGATTGTAACCCAAAGTATAAAATAAATGTCTATGAGTCTGTACAGATAAAATTAAATGATTGGATAAATAAATGGAGGAAAGAAACCAATCTCCCATGCCGAATTCAAAATAAATTGTATAGATACTCTTCCCTCAAGGAGGTTGTATATAAGTGTGATTTCTTCCAAAAAGTACAATATGGAAAGTGGGAAGTTGTGTAACTTCATAGTGGAGAAACCTGATAAACACTGCCTTAGCCAGATGATCAAGGTTAACATCTGTAACAGTAAGAAGTCATGTTGGTAGTATATATCCTTGATATGAGTGATGAAAATGGCACTTTTCCTCTATGGCCTTACTTCCAAAAATCCATAATGCCAGTTTACTCATGAGAAAATTGGTAGATCCCAATTGAGGGGCATTCTGCAACATTCCTGACCAGTACTCTTCAAGACTGTCAAGGTCGTCAAAAACAGGGAAAGCCTGAGAAACTGTTATAGCCAAAAGGAGCTTAACAAGACAAAAAGGGTAAATGCAATATGGTCTTCTGAATGGAATCCCCAAACTGAGAAAGTAAAAACTAAGGATATCTGAATAACATGGATTTTAGTTAGTAATGATGAATATATTGATATTGGCTCATTAATCTTAATAAATGTACCATTCTAGTGTAAGATGTTCATTAATAGGGGAAACGGGGTGCAGGGTAATGGGAATTCTCTGTATTATCTTTGTCATTTTTCTATAAATCTAAAATTGTTCTATAAAACAAAGTTTATTAAACAAAATGGACAAAGGATCTGAGTAGATATTCCTCCAAAGAAGACATGCAAATGGCCAGTAAACTCATAAAACGTTGATGAACATCATTAGCCATCATGGAGGTACAAATCAAAGCCACAGTGAAGGAGGAAAGGGGTAGATGGGGAAAAGGAAGGTGTTGATCAAAGGTTACAAAGTTTTAGTTAGATGGGAGGAAAAAGCTTTATTAGTGTTCTATTGCACAGAATGGTGACTATAGTAGGTGGTAATGCATTGTATATTTCAAAATTGCTAAAGGAGTAGATTTTAAATGTTTTCAGCACAAAAAAATAGGTATGTGAGGTGGTTTGTTAATTAGCCTGATATAATCATTCCCCATTGTAAATATATATCACAACATCACATACCCTGTAAATATGAGGATACTTCAAAAAGTTTGTGAAAAAATAGAATTAAAAGATAGTATGAATCTTTCCATCAACTTTTTGAAGTACCCTCATGTATACAATTATTATTTGTCAATTAAAGATAACTAAAAAAAAAAAAAAAGAAATGAAATACTACTTTCCATCCACTAG